ACGGAAGGCCGATGCCTCCGTCGCCCGGCCGAGATTGGGGGGGTGGGGGCGAGGCAGGCGATGGAAGGCCGATGCCTCCGTTGCCTGGCTGGAGTGGCCGCGGGGGGGTCTGGAGTCGGGCGGCCGCTGGCGGGGGACGCAGTCGCCCGGGCCGAGATTGGGGGGGCAAGGCGGGCGACAGAAGGCCGATGCCTCCGTCGCCCTGCCCTCTACAGAATCCACCCCCCAAACCTCCAGGTATTTCCCTCCTTATAGCTGGCAACCCTACTTTCCCCTCAGTGCCTGTTGGTAGGCAACTAAGCTTGGTCCTGTCACCTACTTTGGCCTTTGGGAGAAAACATATTGGGGCCAATCCTGATAGGGTTGCCAACTCCCGATGGGAAATTCCTGGAGATTTGAGGGATGGAGCCTGAAGAGGGTGAGGTTTGAGGAGGGGTGGGACCTCAGACAGGTACAATGCCATAGACTCCACCCTCCAAACCAGTCAGTCCCTCATGGGGAACCATTGTTGCCAATCTCCAGGTGAGGGCTGGAGACCACTCGGAATTACAACTGCTCTACAGAAGGGAGGGTAGAAATCAGCTGAAGTCAAAGGGGCAGATAATGGTAGGTTGATGGTTAGCTGGGAAAGAGATGGGGTTGCCAACTCCGGGCTGGCAAATTCCTGGGGATTTGAGGGGTGGAGCCTGGAGAGGGTGGGGTTTGCGGAGGGGTGGGACCTCGGATAGGTAGAATGCCATAGACTCCACCCTCCAAACCAGCCATTTCATCCTGGGTAACAATTGTTGCCAATCTCCAGTTGATGGCTAGAGATCACTCAAAATTACAACTACTCTTCAGGTAGCAAAGATCAGTTCCTCTGAGAAAACAGTGGACTCTGTCATTATACCCTGCTGCGGTCGCTACAGCAAATTGACACTGTTTGCCCAAAGCCAGAGCACTCTCCCAGAGCCTCTTTCTAGATCTCATTGTATTTATTTCCACAACGGGCCTTATTTCTAGTTAAATATAAAAAGGAAAAATGTTGATGCTGAATTATGACTTAATATTAGATAGCTGACCAATTTATTGATGTGGTTCACTGTTCCACAAGTAGGCTGCAACAAACTTCCCCCACAGGATTGGCCTCTAATGGAAAGCTGTGGTTGCAACTTCCATGGAAAACTGTTGTGTTCTTAAAGTATTTTTTTAAAAATTTAATGAACAGTTTGAATCCCAGGATGTCTCTTTACCTGACAAACTAAATATTTTGCAAATAAGTAGAGGTACAAGCCGTTCCACATTTGCCATATCATGGCCCCAATATAATAGGCCCATACATTACTTCATACATGCTTTTCCAGAGACCTGAATGTGATACTTCCGTGCATGGGAAAGTAATGTCAACCTGCCCCTACAAACTACACAGTGTATTGCAGTAAGGTTTGCAGAAGTATTTCGACATTAAAAATGTAGAGATTTGGAAGTGTGAATCACACACATTTTTAAATACCCAAATTTAAAGTAACTGGGGTGAAAATGTGAGTGCTGATATTTACTGCACTGATATTTACTGCAAAGCCTGGACAACATACCCCCCCCCTCACACACACACAAAATTCAAGCAGACTGGCTCAGAGTTCACAAATGCATATATGTTGTTAGTGTTCAGAAACTCGGAGATGTTGTCAACTTTTTGTATATTAATAAGATAATCACTAGTATTAACGCTGATGTAGCCAGCAACTGGATGTCTGTTGCGTTAAGCGGAAAGCACCCTGAGAAGGCTGTGAAAAAATTACTACTGGGCAGAAAATAAGGTCAGTGTCCCATGTCAAAATAAGATCTGGTGCTGAGATTCTGTGTTTATATACACGGGGCACACGAAAGGTAACGTTTTACTTGTCTAGAAAGCAACAAAATGGGTTTTATAACGCACCTACCACTACTTCTGACATTAACACAACTGACACAGTAGCCACTTGTGTGAACGGGCGAGGGTTGTAGGAAAGAGAAGAAAACCAACATGGTCACGTGAAGGCAGAAAGACGGCCCTCATAACGACTGTCTGTGCCAGTTCCGTCGTATCGACTCCCGACGAGACTTCGCCTCAGGCCAAGTTGTGTCCACGCTCACAAAACACTCTTCCCGCTTCCCATCTCCAGGCTACCCTCTGGTTCTTTTCACCTTCCTGGCTACTGAACGGGCGCCTAAATAAAGGCAAAGCGTCAAGTCGAGGCGAGGCCCTGCGAAGGACGGAGGGAGGGAAGACCGGTAGGCGTTGCAGGAGGGTATCCGCTCAGCCCCGCCTCCTTGTCCTCGGGGATGCCGGGATGTTTACAGCCTTGACAGCGGCGGTACCAGCAGGGGGGAAAAGGCCGTTTAAGTTTTGTCGCGTCATACGGCGCTCCCTTCCTCCCGGACTGCTTCGCTCCAGGGGCCAGCTGCTGCGCCTGAAGGGGAGAGGCGAATTTTGGGCCGCGCGGCAGCCTCAAACTGAGGTAAACTGAAGAGTTGGTGGGGTGAAGGGGGGGGGAGAGAGTCTGCACGCGACACTTGCCTCGCGTGAGGGGAGAAGAAGGAGGGGGAAGAGGCTGGGTGACGAATAATGGGGCGCAGTAAGGAACTCGTTGGGGCTGCGGAGAAACTGGCTGCTCGTAGAACCCGAGAAACTTCTTTCTCCCCATCCGCCCGGTCTTAGTCACTTCACCCGGGACAGCTGGGGAGCTGGGCTCCGCCTCTAGCTCGTATTCATTGGTTAGTCCGGTAAGTGTCCCCGGGTCTCATTGGTCACCGTGAATGCCGCTCCCTTCCACTTGCTGAGACGGGCCGGGGAGGAGAGAGGTGCGCTTGCGCGGCGTGCGGCCTGCCTCGTATCTTGGAGAAAGAAAGTTTTCCTGTGAGGAAGGGAGGGCTTGGCCGGGTCGCTGATGCTGTTTCTTACCCGGCCGACAGCAGTTTCTTCCACAGCATCCTACGGGGTTGGCTGCCGTTCCTTCTTCTACAGGCGTGCTCCTTCTTTTTTGAGAGTTTAAGCTGGCAACGCGTGCTGTCTGATAAAGGTCAATGTGGAATGTACTGAAATGGACAGGATTGCCCATAGGGAAAAATGGGAGAGACTTGAAGGCCCATTGGTTTCAACGGGAGCCAGGAATGCAAATTGGCTTGCGTGGGCTCCGTCGATGTATATTACAGGATAAAAAAGGTGCAGTGAAAATGCAGATTGGATTTTGAATGAAGGCATCTGGGCCTTGATAAAGTGCTCTGGGACTGGAATGACCAGCCCCAAGAGTGGAACGAGAAGATTTATATCGCGCCCTTCACTTGAAGTCTCAGAGCGGCTTACAAACTCCTTTTCCTTCTCCTCCCCACAACAAACACCCTGTGAGGTTGGTGGAGCTGAAAGGGTTCTTTCAAGAACTGCTCTTTCAAGAACAGCTCTGACAGAACCATGGCTTGCCCAAGGTCATTCAACAGCTGCAGGTGGAGGAATATGGAATCAAACCTGGTTCTCCCAGATTAGACTCTGTGCATTTAACCACTACACCAAACTGGCTCTCCCTAAGAAGAGAATCAGGGCTCTAGGGCTGGGATGATGGCCCTTGGGAGTAGCATAAGTATTTAGGGACTAAAAAGAAGGCCCATGGAGTGGAATTACAACCCCTCAGAGTAGCAGAAGTGTTCAGGGATTGCAGTGACAGATCCCAGAGTGGAATGATGGTCTCTAGCAATAGAATCAGTGTTTTGGAACTGGATTGATGCCCTCTGCAGTGGGAGAATGGTCCCTAGGAATACAGTCAGTTCTCTGGACCTGAAATGATGGGCCCAGTCAGTGAGCTATGGGAGTAGCATGAGCGTTTTGCAACTTGAATGAAAGGCCCCGGAGTGGAATGATGGTCCTTGGCAATGTTCCCTCTAAGCTGTGGAGTCTTGTGAGCAAAAAAATCTACTTTGTGAGCTACTGGCATTCAGGTTGTGAGCGAGCAATTTGGCGGCTGCATAAATCAGCTTGCTGTGGAGCCCCATCCCTTCCTGAGCTGAGACAAAAATGTGTGAGCCGGAGGCTAAAAAACTGTGCGCTAGCTCACACTAACTCAGCTTAGAGGGAACATTGGTCCTTGGGAGTAGTAGGAATATTCATTCCAATCCCAGAACTACTCTCAGGGGCTGTCATTCCAGTCCAGAACACATCTGCTATTCCCAGGGGCCATCATTCCACTTTGGGGGCTTTCATTCCAGAGTAGTGTATTTCAGACCAGAGACTTTCATTTAAATAACTACATAAATGAATAAATAATCTATTGTTCTAAATGCTCCCTGGAATAGCACCATCCTAGCCTGTGTCTGAACCCCTATTAATGATGGGGAAGCCAGGCAAGTCACTCTTGGAAGCAATAAAGTGTTTATTTGCAAAGTGTAGGCCTGTCCTGTCCTTTTTGGCTCACAGCTTCTGTTCTTTGTAGCCTAGAAATTAGGGTGGGGAAAGCCCAGACTAAGGAGTAGCGTATGTAAAGAATGACATCTATACATCTTTCTTGCATGATGGGAGGTATTTAGTCTTTTTTTCCATCCTTGTCATCCGGTCAGAGCTTGAGGTCTTTACTCTGCTTAAACAGAGGCTTATTGATATAGAGTTGCAAGAGCTCAGAGCCCTTGCCTCCGGAAGGTGCTCCTCAGTAAGGTGGGCCTATCCCCTTTCTGGTGCTCTACCATGTGTTGAGCACATACTCTTACACTGTAAATTGTTAAATGACATTCGAGTGGAATTTATAGAAGCCCCCCTTAGGTTGGTAGCAGGCCAATCGGATAGAATCAAGGTACAATTTCTCCTTGCTTCACGAGATCCGGAGATCATTGAACTGATCGCTAAGTTTCTCCATGGTTTTATAAAACGGAAGAGTGACCCTGATCATATTAATGATTCTTAATTTAGAAGTCTAAAAACTTAAGTTTAAAAGTTTAGAATGCCAATTTATTTTATGATTCAGGCATCTTTTGTATGGTCAAAACTAGCTTGTGACAACTTGAGTTAGGCCTGACATAGCCACGACTATCTATTTTATAATTTCTTTTGGATTGTATTATTGGTAAATGCTTCTAATATTGTATGCCATTGAAAGGTATTTGAATTTGATTTGGTGTTTAGTGGGAATTCAATAGCACTACTGCAGACATTCTAAAGAAACTTAAAACCACTGCATTATGGATGTCCAACAATGTATGAAAGCTACACTGAGATCTGTTCCTGTTTTAGACAATTTTTGTATCTGCAGTAAATGGCAAGTTTAATTACAATGTTGCTCTATGTGTGTGCGTGCACAGTCACAAATTATTATTTCTCTGGGAGAGAAGCATGTCTCATATTCCTGTTTTCATCTTCAAACTTCGTGTCTCAGGGGTCCCCAACTTTTTTGACACCTGCAACTACCTTTTGGAATTCTGAAACAACATGGCAGGTATGGCCACATAATGGCTGCTGCAAGAGGAGGAGCAAGCCACAAAATGGTGAAGATCCTTGTGCTGTGGTGGTAGCTGCTGCCAAAGCAACATTTTTAAAAAATCTGCCCAGCCAGTCAAATATCCATTGACCAACTTAGAAGCCTTGCTAGGCAAATGACGCACCTGGTTGTGCCGACTTCCTAAAAACACTTGACAGCTGCCAGAAAAGGTGTTGCTGGGCACCATGGTGGGGACTCTTGGTGTATCTTACTGAACTCATACCTGATACTCATTGTACATCTTCCAACTTATTTGCATAGTATAGTGCCAGGTTTCTTGCTTTGGCATCTGTCAAATAACTTTATCATTTGTAAATTGAGTTTTTACATTCAGAAGGTTTTAGGAACTAGATTTATGTTATATGCTGAGAATTATACAGATGTGTGGTATTTAAACGTAGATGTGGGGTTTTTTTAGAAAATGATAAAATGTAACTTTAGTATTAATAGCCTCGATAACGAGGACAACAAATAACCAGTGTCTGTCTTCTTAGACAGTAGCCTTCAGCTAGTATAAGACAACAAGCCATCTATCATCTTTATTCTTTATCATCTGCCATACAAGTCAGTTTGCTTGTTGCTTAGTTTGTGGGAGTGAAGTAGTTGAGAGATGCTGCCATGGAAGTCAAATACACATTGTTTGTTATAATTTTATCTCCGCGGAGGAGCTCAGAGGGAGCTATACACAATCTCCTCTTCCTCATTTTATCCTTGGAACCTCTTGTGAGGTAGATTAGGTTTAGAGAGAGTATCTGGCCCAGAGTCACCCAGCAAACATCTTAGCAGTATAGGGATTTGAATTCAGGCCTCCTTGGTCTTAGGAAAACGGTCCAAGAACTATACCACTCCCACTCATCTTCTTACATGGACTGAGACCCTAACTTCAAGAAACTCTGTTTCCAGGTCTGCCATGGGTCCTGGGAGCTTCCACAGATAATCTTGATTCCCAGGCATGTGAGAAGACCTAATGTGGTGTAGTGGTTAGCATGTCGGACAATGATCTGGAAGATCCAGGTTTCAATCCCTACTCTGCCATGGAAACTAGCTGGGTGGCCTTGGCCCCATCATACACTCTCAGGCCTAACCTACCTCACAGAGTTTTTGTGAGTGTAAAACAGAGACAGTGTAAGCTGCTTTGGGTCCCCACTGAGAGAAAGGCAGGTAAACTGAAGTAAATAAATCATTCATATTAGGGCCTTGGGGAGAGGGTGCTTAAGCCTCCCTGCTGCACCTTTGGCTTAAACCAAAAGAGCCCTGAGGGGGCACCTTACGCCCCATTTGGACCACAGGTAAGTTTCCCTGGAGCCATTTCAGATGGAGAAAACTGTCCTGGGGGGCGGATCCTTACGGCCCCTCTCCCTGTGAGTCTGTGGAGGCCCCTGCACACCTGGAAATAAGGTTTCATCCAGGAACTCTCAGCATGTCTGGTTTTTTGCATGGCACGAGGATGAACCTGAGAACAAGACATGGGTTCCCAGTGTTCATATGGGCCTTGCCAATTTGAAATGTTTATGGGAGTGGTCTGTTCACGGGCCAGGTACTCTCTCTAAACCACCTGAGCCACCCTGAGACCTGTGAATTCAGGGAAAGGTGGTATACAAGTTGACATTATAAATAAGTAAATATAAAAATAAACTTTGTTTATACCATTGGGTTAATTTCTCCATTGTGTAAATTGTGTCCCATGAAACCAAAAACTTCCCACTAGTTATGCAGTCTAAGGAGGTTGATTGAATGCTGGTGGGACATCTTACATCGCTGGTTGGCTACTTTCAGTTTAGTGCTCAGCCTGATGTAAATAAATTCAAGAAAATGAGTATTTGTAAGTTAAGTGAGTGTGTACATAGGGCCTTGAATTAAACTGAAGCGAACAGCAGTGCTTCTAAAGGTATTTCGTTGAGGAGGGATTTTGTGGTTGTTGCTGAAAATATCTATGTTAAGGGTTGCTATAGAATCTGGATTTTTTAACATTATAGGACTGAATATTGTCTGTTAAATTAACT